CCCCAAAACCCCAAAACCCCAAAACCCCAAAACCCCAAAACCCCAAAACCCCAAAACCCCGAGTGATTAGGCATGGGTTGAAAAGGAAGGGAAGGGGGTTTGGGGGATTTTTAAGGGAGAATTAGGCGGTGGAGGAGTGGGATTTTAGGACTGAGTGTTTGAAATAGTCTTTTTCTGAGAAGGAGTTGGAGATTTTTGGAAATCTGGTAGGTTAGGAAGGGATTTACATGTCTAATTCTGATTCTATTGCGTCTGCTAGGTTTGGTAATGAACATGAAAGAATTCGAAGTAAAGGGTTAGTATATGAAGACAGGTTCATTTTCAGTTTTTCATCTTCTTGTTTAAGTCTAGAGTAAGTAAAGAAGAAACTTACTGTCCCATAAAAATCATTCCGTTATTGCTAAAAATCGGTGCTTCATTGAGTACTGAATACTTGGTGTCTATAAAGCAAATAAAAATTGTTTCTTACTCAGTTGTATCTTCTCATCTACAGATTTACAAATTTTGTAATTGAATTTAGCTCTCCAATCTTGTAATAACTTTGAAGAATTTTGGTCTTGGCCGATTTGTCTAAAATTTAAATCTCCATCTTGGTCATGCTTATCATAAAGCAAATTTCTCGTATGAATTCTATTATCTCATTAAAATTAATACCTTTGAAAATGCCCCTCAACTCAATTAGAAGGAATATTTGTATCATCTATTTTTAATTCATTAACAGTCAGATCTACAAAATTAAATGCCAAATACTTTGAGATTGCGAGACTTCATGAAGTTGAATCAACTCTTTCATAGTCTGGTAAAAAATTAAGTTGTATTTGTTTAATTCATTATCTTCACTATCAGGATCTCTTCTTAAATATCTGGATGTTACTAACCCAAGAATGTTCACGCTCATTACTTTCTCTCCTGGCTTGTAGTCTGCCTGAAAGCTGCAGTATTAGATGTGACTATTACCGTGTAATTTCTGAGTGGGTAATCATTCCAAAATAATGTTGGCTAAAGAAGTCAAATAAATTTGGTTGAATTTTGGTCAAAACCTGATCAGGTTCGACTAGAATATTTGATAGAATAGTACCAGAATTCGACCAGTTACTTACTAAAGTGCAACCATATCTTCCTCTATCTTTTCTAAATCTCTGTTGTCTTGATCTGAATCTCCGCAAGGGTAATGACCTATAAAGTTCTTAGGTTTTAAGTCTAAGTCACTCAACTCTACAAGAGCAGTTTCTTTTAAGAAAGTACACGTGTCTCTGTAATGCTTGGTATATGTCATATGTGAATGCCACAGCTGATCGATCCAGAAGCTTGGAGCAACATCAGAATTACTCAGAGTTTCGAGGACCAAGTACTTCAGATACTCAACAAACACTCAGGCTGCAAAGTTATCAGAAAGTAGCCAGTAATTTTGAAAATTGCCAAGCAAATCTTCTGGAAACTCAATGCTCAGCAATGTATCAAATAGAAGTTGGCTGGTAGAGTTGTCGAATTGAATAATCGGGAGTTCTAGATTAGCTGAGGTTTTCTTTGGTAGAGAATTTAGAACTTTATCAGCAATCTTAAGAGCATCATCAAAGCTGACAGAATCATTATGAGTAAATTCATCATATGTTTGATCAACCATCTTGACTACTTCAGAGATTGGGATTCGGTTATTGTGAGTAGTTCCTATCTCATATTTCCAAATTTTAGCACATCTTTTATTTCCAACTCTTATATAATCTATACGGTATATTTTAATCAAACAAATGCAGCTTTTTGAGATGAAGTAGAATGATAATCATAACAAGATCTTTATTAATTGTATCAACTCGTATCAGATGTTTCTAATCACTTTAAAAGATACACTTCGGGATTATCATATTACACCTCTTATTTTCATCCTGATAAAAATTCTTACCTGCTTCAAAATATGGGAGATTGATAAAAACATTGAGATATTTAGGAAATTCATATAAAAGTTTATTAATTTGGGATAAAGTTATCTCAAGCTTATCTTCAAAATTAGGCTCTTGTCTGTCAATGTATCCTCCTCATAACAGCTGGCAAAAATCTGAATAAGTTTGCGAGTGAAGAATCAGCAGCTTCCATATTCTATCTATATGAGAAGGAGGAAATATAGCACTTGAATAATGAGTCTTCCCCCCAATAATGTCTTTATAAAAATATTTTTGAGTTGAGTTCGCTCCCGTTCTTTCTTGCTCAAGAAGAATCAAACCAGCATTGAGCACCATGAATTTCCTAAACTCTGTTATCATAATATGAGCTGTCTCTGGACTGTATCAATACGATCCTTCTTCTGGGAGTCCCAAATCATTAACATTCATATTCATTACTTTCTGCTCAAAAGTAGGCCCACTCACAATATGCTTATTAAAATCAAACCTGTACGCTTGAATTAACCTAAAATAACACTCTAGCCTACTTCTCGACCATCGTACTGCCCTTCTCCAGTATATTATCCACATAAAAAGACGCTGATTGTCACCCCATTAAAAATTAACTACCAATTCTCCCTTTAATTTAGGGGTTTTGGGGTTTTGGGGTTTTGGGG